AACTCTTGCTGTATGAAATGCAGTGGACTCTGATGCTACACCACCTCTGCTTCTGTCATATTCTACACTGCTATCTTATTTTTTATTGACTAGTTTGTTTCCTCTGAGCATGTTTACATCTTTGCTAAGCAGGTGACACGTCTTGAATGAGATGCACGTGGGGTGGGCGAAATTCCCCCTCCCCTCAACTCTCGATAACGAAACAAAATCTTCACATTTTTACACAAAAAGATCAGGGTATCTATATATGGACAGTGTAGCTCACAATAGCAGCTCTTTACTTGTAGTGCTAAAACTTATATTAACTGAACTCAAATTTCAGAAAGGCTTGCTCAAAATTTACTGAAATGTACAAATAAAGCATTGATTACCTTTTTAGGCACGCATTTGACGAATGGGCATCTTGCCTGCTCTAATTGTAATGTATTGGAGATGTGCAAAAACAAATGACGATGATGCAAAAAAGTGTCAACTTCACTTTCACGATTTTGTCTACTATGTAAATCACCCACCCCTAGACCTGCATGAAGGGGAGCAAAAGGACACTGGGTGAGCAGAGCATTGAAAGCAAACAGGCAAAGCTGCGAAAGTGAAATGGAGCCAGTATTAATACTTTATAATGTGGAAAAAGCTTGTCAAATTTGGACACTTAGTTACAGTAGTTAATGAGTGTATGGAGTGACTAAATAATGACATGCGAAGTGTCAAAAAGCGCTATTCTTGGGTTTCATGACATCAGTGCAGTGGCACAAATAACAAACGTAGGACGTGACATGCCCTGGCGGTGCAGTCTGGCGGTGCAGTCTGCCGGGTGTATACTAGGGGTGGGAACCTAAGGGTGGCTCACGATAATACCGCAATATAACAATTATCGATATATTGGTCAGAAATATACCATATGCCAATTTATGGCATAAAATAAATGGTAAGTGAGAAATTACTCAGTTTCCTGGAATGGAGATGCTTAATGTAGCCATATTAAGTATTGATACTAATTTTAGTTAGTTTTTTCAAAATCAATATTGATACTTGGCAAATGCATATCGATGGGAGAAAGTGTCGCGATATAACATCACACCCCTAGTATATACACGGAGATGTAGAAGCTGTCAAAATGCCATCTTGTGCGGTTTACGCTTGTGGCAACCATGCAAATAGAAGGAAAAGAGTTTCTTCTGTGTTCCAACTGTGGGCTCGTATAAAGGAGTACATTTTGAAAAAATCACTCGCTTGAGGTGGGCGAGATGGATCAAGGCTTTCCCAGATAAGCGCTCCCTGCAGGCCACCTGAATCAGAATCAGAATCAGAATCAGAATCATTTTTATTGCCAACGTAAGTAACGGGAGGTCACAGACTTGGAAATTGCTTTGGCTCAGTGCAACAGTCAAAAAGAGATAATAAAAATAAGAATAAAAAACACTTCTAAAGAATAAATTTAAATTTAAAATAGAGTTACAGTTACTATTTACAATATACAAGTGCACATGGTGCACACAATGTAAGGTGACAGCAGTACAGTGAAGTAAAGTGACGTATGATGGGCAGTAAAGTGACTTTATAAAGGGCGGGGGGACAGGTTAAGAAGTGTTCAAGAGTCCAACAGCAGAGGGGAAGAAACTGTTCTTGTGGCGGGAGGTTCTAGTCCTGATGGACCGCAGCCTCCTGCCTGAGGGGAGTGGTTGGAATAGTCCATGTGCAGGGTGAGAGGGGTCGGCTGTGATACGACCAGCCCGGCCTCGAGCTCGGGCGACGTACAGGTCCTGCAGCGATGGAAGGCTGCGGCCGATCACTTCCTCTGCAGAGCGCACAATGCGCTGTAGTCTCTGTTTGTCCCTGACTGTGGCTCCAGCGAACCACACGGTGATGGAGGAGGTGAGGATGGACTCGATGATGGCCGTGTAGAACTGCACCAACATCTGTGCAGGCAGCTTGGCTTTCCTGAGCTGCCGCAGGAAGTACATCCTCTGCTGGGCCTTCTTGATGAGGGAGCTGATGGTCGGCTCCCACTTGAGGTCCTGGGTGATGGTGGTGCCCAGGAAACGGAAGGACTCCACAGAGGTGATGGGGGAGTCCATCACGGAGGGTGGGGGCGGGGGGACAGTGCTCTTCCTGAAGTCCACAATCATCTCCACTGTCTTCTGGGCGTTCAGCTCCAGGTTGTTACCACTGCACCAGGACACCAGCCGGTCCACCTCCCTCCTGTAGGCGGACTCATCGTTGTTGGAGATGAGTCCAATGAGGGTGGTGTCGTCCGCGAACTTGATCAGCTTCACGGAGTCGTGGCTGGAGGTGCAGTGGTTGGTGTACAGGGAGAAGAGCAGGGGAGAAAGAACACAGCCCTGTGGGGCTCCTGTATTTATAATCCGAGAGTCCGAGACATTCTTCCCCAGACGCACTCGCTGCTTCCTGTCCGTCAGGAAGTCAGTGATCCACCTGCAGGTGGAATCGGGCACGTTGAGCTGGGAGAGCTTGTCCTGGAGCAGGGATGGCAGGATTGTGTTGAAGGCAGAGCTGAAGTCCACGAACAGGACCCTGGCGTAGGTCCCCGGGGAGTCCAGGTGCTGTAGGATGTGGTGGAGGGCCAGGTTAATGGCGTCGTCTACAGATCTGTTGGCTCTGTAGGCGAACTGCAGGGGGTCCAGGAGGGGGGAGGTGAGGGACTTGAGATGGGAGAGAACCAGGCGTTCAAATGACTTCATGACGACAGACGTAAGTGCTACAGGTCTGTAGTCATTGAGTCCTGTGATCCTGGGCTTCTTCGGGACGGGGACAATGATGGAGGATTTGAAGCAGGCCGGGACATGGCAGGACTGCAGAGAGGTGTTGAAAATGTCCGTGAACACAGGAGTAAGCTCACTGGCGCAGTGTCTCAGAGTGGCCGGAGACACGTGGTCCGGGCCAGGAGCTTTGCGGGGGTGCAGCCTCAGGAAGAGTTGTTTAATCTCTTTAGCGGCTATTGTTAGGCTGGGGGCAGGGCTGATGGGTGGGTCGTTAGAGTAGTGGGGGGTGGGGGAGGGAGAGGTGTCAGGGGCAGCATCAAAGCGACTGAAAAATAAGTTCAGATCGTCAGCTAGCTTGTGGTCATCAGCACAGGGGGGGGCTTTGGGTTTGTAGTTGGTGATCTCCCGTAGGCCCCTCCAGACAGAAGCAGTATCGTTGTTACCAAACTGCTCCTGTAGTCGTTCTCTGTGCCGGGACTTGGCTGCTTTCAGTTCTTTCCTGAACTGATATTTAGCTGCTTTGTAGCCGCTGCGGTCCCCCTCCCTGAAAGCAGACTCCTTTGCTTTCCTGAGCTGCCGGAGTTTAGCAGTGAACCAGGGTTTGTCGTTGTTATAGATGACCCTGGTCCTTGTTGGAATGATGCTATCCTCACAGAAGTGGATGTATGACGTCACAGTGTCCGTATATTCATCCAAGCTGTCTGTGGCAGCTCTGAAAAGGTCCCAGTCTGTAGATTCCATGCATGCGCGTAGCTCTTCCACAGCTTCATCAGACCACACTTTGGAGCTCCTCACTGCAGGTTTCGAGAGCTTTAGTCTCTGTCTGTAAGCAGGAACCAGATGTATCATGGAGTGATCTGAGAAGCCGAGGGCTGGCTTGGGAACAGCGCGAAAAGCTCCGCGCACGGTGGTGTAACAGTGATCCAGAGTGTTCTCCTCTCTGGTCGGGCATTTGATAAACTGTCTGTATTTGGGTAATTCCTGGCTCAAGTTTCCCTTATTAAAATCCCCCAGGATAATAATCAGAGAGTCCGGGTATAAGCGTTCCATACACAGTACTTGCTCTGCGAGTGCGCGCTGAGCCTCGCGCGCGTCCGCGCATGGCGGTATGTAAACAGAGGCAAGAATGAATGAAACAATTTCCCGCGGGGAGTAATATGGTTTACAATGGATGAAAAGATATTCCAGAGCAGGAGAGCAGTGCTTGGAGATCACTGTCACATCGTTACACCAGTTTGTATTGACGTAGAAACAGAGCCCTCCGCCTCTGCTCTTCCCTGAGAGCGCACAATGGCGATCCGCGCGAAACAGCCCAAAGCCCTGCAGCTCCAGAGCGCAGTCCGGGATCCGCTCATTTAGCCAGGTCTCAGTGAAGCAGAGGACACAGGATGTGGCGAAGTCCTTGTTTCTTCTCATGAGCAGGCTGAGTTCGTCCATCTTATTGCCCAGTGAGCGTACGTTGGAGAGAAAAATGCCGGGGAGAGCCGTGCGCGCTCCTCTCCTCCTAAGACGCACGAGCAGGCCTCCTCGCTTTCCCCTTTTACGGGCCCACACTTTTTTGGCTAGAACATGAACTAAATCAGCCGCAGATGCCAAGAAAACAGGCAATAGGTCCATGGGAACGGTGGGTCGGATGTTCATAAGTTCCTCACGGGTGTAGGAACAGCCAGATGCACAGTTAAAAAGTAAAAACAAAAGAAAAAGAGAGCAGCAAAGAGCCATGTCGACCGTACGAGGCGCCATCTTGAATCACAGAGACGAAATGAATGAAATGCAATTTCTTCTGCTTTTTATTTCCAAAAATGCCCAAAATCAAGACTCTTCTGAAATATTTTGTTGTACTCCCTTAGAATTGAGTCTCCCCTCCCGATTAAGACTGTTACAACTGTACACCGCACAGGATGAGAGCCTTTTGACTCCAAAACAGACACGCTTTACATGGTTTTCAATGGGCGCAAAACAGTTGTCCCACCTCTGCTCATTCACCCCCTACTGGCCAGTTTAATGAAACCCAAGAATATAAAACTTATTCATTATCACCTATGACAGTAATGGCCCACCCCTAGAAAACGCAATCACTGGTCCATCCTAATTTGCAATAAAACTTCCAGACCTCATCTCATGCTAACTCTCTATATAGGGTTATTTAGAGCAGCAGGTTTGCAGCCTTATTCAGTGTTTGCAACTTTAAGTTTAGCTTGCGTTAATGTTGCAGCTCTGATTTAATCCTGCAGTGAACAGCCACGTTGAAGGAAAAAAGAACAAATGTTTTCCCCACAGATGAGGTGCGCACTGGGACATACAGGCAGCTGTTCCACCCTGAGCAGCTGATCACTGGGAAGGAGGACGCTGCCAACAACTACGCTCGTGGTCACTACACCATCGGCAAAGAGATCATTGACCTGGTTCTGGACAGGATCCGCAAACTGGTGAGAGGCGTAACAATACATTGTGTTGCTTAATATTGTATTTAAGCGTGGTTTGTCAAGCATATTGATGAGGCTTCTGGTGTGATGTCATGGAGAAAAGCGGGTAATTGAGCCACCAGAGGGCAACACTGTCACTGTGCATACTTGTCCATTTAAAGCTCTTCTAATCTAAAATTTGTCCCATCTTCTAGCAGTGATAATTGACGTAAAGACACAAGATCAAACTGGCAATCCAATTGACTGCGTTATGATAAATTTAAGTGACTATAGTGGTGGGTATTAATGTAGGAATATATTGTAATATACATTTGCTAAGCATACTTTTTTGTCCAAGAATAGTCAAAACGACATTTGTTTTAAATTGCTGATTATGCCAACAATATAATCCTTCCTTTAAATGAGTCGCAGCATTTTGAAAGTGCCCACCCCAGTGTGAAAGCTTGCCATCTCTAATATTTATACTGTCCACAGGCCGACCAGTGCACAGGGCTGCAGGGCTTCCTGGTGTTCCACAGCTTTGGAGGAGGAACTGGCTCTGGTTTCACCTCACTGCTGATGGAGCGTCTTTCCGTGGACTACGGTAAGAAGTCCAAGCTGGAGTTCTCCATCTACCCTGCTCCTCAGGTTTCCACTGCTGTGGTGGAGCCATACAACGCCATCCTGACCACCCACACCACCCTGGAGCACTCCGACTGTGCCTTCATGGTTGACAACGAGGCAATCTACGACATCTGCCGCAGAAACCTAGACATTGAGCGCCCAAGTTACACCAACCTGAACAGGCTGATCAGTCAGATCGTGTCGTCCATCACCGCCTCTCTGCGCTTTGATGGAGCTCTCAACGTGGATCTGACAGAGTTCCAGACCAACTTGGTGCCCTACCCTCGTATCCACTTCCCTCTGGCCACCTACGCCCCGGTCATCTCTGCAGAGAAGGCCTACCATGAGCAGCTGTCTGTGGCAGAAATCACCAATGCCTGCTTTGAACCGGCCAATCAGTTGGTCAAATGTGACCCCCGTCATGGTAAATATATGGCCTGTTGTCTCTTGTATCGTGGTGATGTTGTGCCCAAAGACGTCAACGCCGCCATTGCCACCATCAAGACCAAGCGATCCATCCAGTTTGTGGACTGGTGTCCCACTGGTTTCAAGGTGGGCATCAACTACCAGCCCCCCACCGTGGTCCCTGGAGGAGACCTGGCCAAGGTGCAGAGGGCCGTGTGCATGTTGAGCAACACCACTGCCATCGCAGAGGCCTGGGCTCGGCTGGACCACAAGTTTGACCTGATGTACGCCAAGAGGGCCTTTGTGCACTGGTACGTAGGAGAGGGCATGGAGGAGGGAGAGTTCTCTGAGGCCAGAGAGGACATGGCTGCTCTGGAGAAGGATTATGAAGAGGTGGGAGCAGACTCTGTGGGAGATGGAGAGGATGAGGGGGAAGAATATTGAGCACTTGTACGTTCCTTTATCTAATAAAAGGCTGATTTATTTTGTTTTCCCATTTCTTTTTGAGCAGCATTATTCTGTGTGAACCCATGGCTGTGGTAAAGACCTGGGGCCGTATCCCTAAAGATTCTAAGTCCTTTCAGAGCTCCCAACTTAAGCCAAGACTCCTAGCTAGGAGTTTAGGTGAAGTTATTCCAGAACACTCTTAGAGAACTCTGAGCAAGGAATGGACGGCAACTTTTATCTTAGTGTCTGAAATGACTTAAACTCACTGATTGGTTGATCCTAAAAGTTAGGAAATGTTTTATATTGGGCAAAATAAGGGCCCAAAAATTGACTAACTCAATCATGGAATATAATCTTAGGAAGACAGTTATTGTAAATAATAGTCAGAAAAGGTAGAAAGTCAGATATATCAATGTTAATGACTTACTGTGAATAGACAGCCTTTGACACCACATCAGAGCTTACTCAGCACCAATTTATCACAACGCGAGAACGATATATTTTATATTACTCTATATTTAATATACATGAAAAAGATAATGCTGAACGTTAGGATTTGGGGAAGTGTCCTCGGATGACACTGGAGGAGCTGTGAAGTTCTGCTGACCTGGGGGAACTATCAGTCGTACTTAAATCTGGCCTTTATGGAGGAGTGATAAGAAGGTAATTGAAAGGAGGCCATAAGAAATCCTTTTTAAAGTTTGCAAGAAGGGCGGGATACGGAAGGTGCTTTAGTCATATTCTTAGGTTTCTCACATAACCTTCATAAGTTTATTGTCCTGAGCATCTCAAACGCTCTTCTAATTTGACAGAGTGCAGCTCGTCATACCTCAGACTTTCTTCTGTTATTGCAGGAGAAAGGGGTTGTGTTGTATGAACATAGGTTGGGTCGACAAACAGCTTAAGTTCAATATTTTCTTTTGGCTAGTTTTTTCAGAAGTTGACCTTTTGTATGATTTCATTTGAAATAGACAGCCTGGTATAAGAATTACACCATATTTTTCAGCGATTCTATAAAATCCTTGCTGTGTTCATCCAGTTGTACAGGACATGTATCCATAGGGTGATACTATTGCTAACTTTTTCCTCTGCAAATGAACAAATGCAACCTTTTTGGAAAACCTGTTTTATTGGAAGTCACCTGATCTGACCATTATGTTTGCGCAAAGTGCTCGTCAAGCAAAACATTTGATAGTTACTGAAAATTATATTGTGTAGTAAGTAGTACCAACTCCATGGGGTCCACACTCTCCCAGAAGATCAACATATTCCATCTTTAATATAATATAAAGTATTGAATAACTCAGTGTTGCTGAAACAAAGCAAAGAATGCAATGTGCTTGATTCTGACAGTTAATTTTGTTCTGTATTTTGAGACAATATGTAGTTCTTGATATTGTGTCCCAAATATATTCAGAACCTTTTAAACATAATGTGCATGTCAGACTTAGATTTCACATCCTATGAATTCTGACATGTACGTTAAAATAAATTACAAAACATTTAACACTGGAACAACTGCTCCCAGCATTCAATTTGACACAAACAGAAATACAACATCCAAAGAAGCCATTCACAAACACGCAAAGTCAGACTAAACTAAAGCAAAAAGGACCACCTCTTTAACATATTTGCCATCCGCCCTGAAAGGAACAGGTTATTTTTTAGTGTAATTTTGTTCAAGACTTTTTGACATCAGCACAGGCAGTAATTTAAGTTTTAGCTGAAATGGAGCCATATTTAAGTCAAAGTAGCACATGAAGTATGTAGCATATCTCTCAATATGTACCAGAAGGCGACGTGTGCATCTTTTGGTTGTTTGGCTTTGATAGATGAACATGTATGAACATGTATTACTGCAGGTTTGATTGCATCTCCACAAACCTGACTCGTACTAGTCTTGAAGTCCTCCTCATCCTTGTTGTCATGGAGATGTCTGAAGTTTAGCCATAAGTGTCCACAAAACATTAGACTTTTTAACTCTATATAGTATGTGCCGAATTATTGCTTTAAAATAACGTGACACACCGCTCCAACAAGTTGCTTCAAAGGGAGCATGTTCAGGGGTATTTGGAAAAAGAAAGTCTACCACATGTATAATTCTAGTGAACATTTTGTTTGTTGAATTCAAACAGCTTGACAAAAAAAACTTACTGTTTAAAAACTGCAGATATTTTGCTGCATCATTCGCACTTAACATTCAGTGCAATGTTTCTTTTCACTGTTACACATTTTCAAGATGTTTTTGAAGAAAAATCTTAAAGTCAATCCTCCTGAAATGAGGTAATTTCAAATGTGAGAAAGACATGGAGTGTAGTCCTGGTTCAGCTGCTTAAAGTGACATCACATTGTGTGAGCGGAACGGCAGTTATAAAGACGCAGAGGTTAGTGCTTCAACATTTAGTGACAATTTGATACAAAAATACGTATGAGTATGTGATTAATTTAAAGTAACAGACATTGTAAGAGTACAATAGTTCAGCATTTTAACAACAGAAGTCCCAATGCTTTCTCTATAACCACATCTTCATGATTAGAATGATCATAGTCACAAATAATCAACAAGAAATAAGTGAGAGGTTTCACAGTGACGACCACAGCAGATAAATCAAGCAACATACTGAAAAACATATCAATGTGGATTTGGACTGCAGCGCCTGGTACAACTAGTGAAATAAAAATAACAAAACTGTTTGAATAAGGATTTGTTAAAAATGTGTGTCCCTTTATCTAGTATGGGAGTAACTATCAAACAACGTTGCATGTGTACAAGTTTAAACATTATGAGGCATTCAGGATCTGCATCCAATCAAAGACCCAACCAGGATAATGGCAGAACCGATATCTGTACTCTGAGCTTTGTCTTGATATCTGCAACGCATATGTAGCAGGTGCAGGATAAATATTTATATTATAATATAATGTAACTGGTTATGGGGTAACAGAAGTCCCGGACAGTTTAAACACAGTCAAAAACCAAAGTTGTAGTTTATACTAAATGCATTTTGAGCGGCAGTAGTGTACTTTCGGGATACCACCTCGTTACATCAACATTACCCAAACACGCGCACGTGAAACAATAGTATGTTCTATGATGTGGGACGCTCCAAAAGGCAGTTTACAGCAGATGTGATGTTTATGAATAATTTAAAAGTTCCTACAGTACATAGATATATATTACACTTTTAATTACACTCCCACACTCTTCACGCGTGTGCTGATGCTAATTAATCCCAGTTAAGGCATTTTGGTGAGAATATTCAGTCAGTAAATAGCCAACATCTCCTGTGCCATTTCTCTTGCAACATCGAAAACCATTACAGACATACTCTCCCACCTCCTCAGACTTCGACACTCTCAGATGTCCTGAATCGTCCCAGTTTTGGAGCCGTTTCTCTGCTTTTCTTTTCGGCCCTAGACCTGAAGCTTCACAAAGCTTCACGAAGTCCAACGCTTTCTGCACAAGAACATTTCTGGTCCTAAGAGGAGGCGCCATCTTCCAAATGTAACCTGCAAAATAAACACATTTTCTATTATTTGGAATTATTGGTGAGCTGTAAGAAAGTAAAGTTGTCTTACAAATCAATTAAATGCCAAATAATTTAAATTGATTTGGCACTTCATCAATGGAACAAGTTTATTATCGTGTATACTAAGATAATACTCTAATTCTCTCAGTTTAAATAAGAAACAACAATTGGAGTGCACCGGACTAAAGACAGTGCTGCCGCATATAGATTATTACGCTGGATTATTTCTTTGAGTCCTTTTTCTTCTGCTTTTGAAGTGATTGTCATATTTTGTTTTGGTCCCTGTCTTGAACCTGTGTGTTTGAGTGTTTTTTTGTTTGTTTTCAGATAAAATAAAATAAAAATACATTGTACATCCTCTGTGGTGATATACCAATATTATATGTGTAGGCAATGACCTGAAGCCGCTTATGTAAATATACATCTTCAAAACTCACTAACATTCTAAAAAGACCAAAATTAGGGTATTTTGCAATTGTAAAAGTATTATGTGATTAAGCATTTGTATGTAGTAAGATGATACTTAATGATATACCAATTGAGGAAATTAAAAAAACATGTTATAATCAATGAAAAGATCACTATTCATCCACACAAGTTTCCAGAGGACAAGAGTTGCTAAATGTGTTTTTTTGCTGAACACCTAATGCCCTGCTCGCATTGATTCATTCATTCATAATGTCTTTGTTACTTTACTGTCTTGAAGTGTGGGGAAACTCACCTGTAAAAGGCCATCACATCTACGGCTGTAATTAACAATTATTTTCATAATTAATTAGTTGTTCAATTATTCTTTCAACTAATTGATTAATTATTTAGGTTCAGATAGGTCAGTGAATATGTGCCAAAAAGAGCACAAGAGATGATGATGATTGTGACACATTTTTTTGATTGAAAATACTTTGTAAACACATTATTTTATTCTGCAGTCATTATAGAATTATTCAGATTCAATTGATTCGTTGCAACAAAGCCATTAACTTAACTATTTAGAACAGTTTAACGGAAGAAATAAAAACATGCTCAAAAGGGTCCGGAGGTCCCTCGTAGTTAGGCAAGGGTCTGCATAATGCTCTAGAGGGCGCTAGAGAGTTAGTCAGGGGTCTGCATCGTTATTATTTTAGATCCATGGTCTGTATACAGTAGGTATGTTGTACTGGTATGTATACTGCAGCCCTTAGTGCACTCTTTAACCTATCGATTCCCCCAAGATTACTGAGAAGAGTTCAATAAAAAAATAAATATATGTCCTCAAGCAAATCCCCCTCAATACACTAGAGGGCGCTAGAGAGTAACATAACTGAAACATGTTCTTTATGTGCTTATTACGGCCTAATGACACATTTAGAAACGTTAGTGCATAGCTGTTCGCTTTGGGACAAATCAAATATACAAAATATTCCTTTTGGGGACATATTCACATCATTTGGATATTTCCCCCCAGTTTATAACCAGGCAGTTGTGGCTGACCCCGCAATTTTAGGACTTGTGTGAAAAGGAGGAATCATATGGTCCGACCATGAGTCGGAGCCTGTCACCAGGACAGGTGTCTCAGCACAAGGTTTAAAACATTGCTGCTTGTTTTTTTTTCTGGTTCTTCAGATTTCTTACCTGAAGTAAAGTACCTCAAGACAGAATGTGGACAAAGAGAATAGCCAACCCAATGTTAAGAAGTATGACCATACAGATCAATATGGTGTTCGGGCCCTGAGGATGAAAGGAAACATTTTAGTTAGATTTATTACAGACGACTGAAGATCCTGGGAAATAACTTGGATACAGAGATAAAGAATATAAGAAGCTAAAGCCTCAAAAAAACTGGTCAAAAACAGTTTCAACGTACCTCTATATCCTCCTGATCCTCTTTACTTTGACTGGGTCCTGTGGACTTCAGTCTGGTTTCTACTTTGGGCTCAGGTTTTGGTGCCGGTTTGGCCACAACAGCTTGGGCCTCAGCGGGTTTGGGTTCTGGGGTTCTGGGCGCAGGTATTCTGGCCTCTAGTCGAGGTTTGGGAGCAGGACTCGACTGCCTCTTCAGCGCTGGCCGTGCATCCGCTCTGCTTGAGGGCCGACTGGTTTCCCTGGACTCAGCTCTGGAAGGTGACCGTTCCTGGACTGAAGGAGCTCTCTCGGGCTTCGGCGGTTCTGGAGTGGCCGCTTTAGAGGATACTTTGGACGGAGGGCGAGGAGGAGGTGGTTCGTCTTCATCGACTTGTGGAGAAATGAAGCTGTTTCGTGTTGAAGGTGGGGCATCAGATTCTTTCAGAGGCTTAAAAAAGTACACACAACAAATGAGACTCTTACTGCAATGGTCTGACGCCATGAAGAATGTTCTAATTATTGTTTTATTTTCATTTTAATATTACACAACATAGTCACATAGACACATGCTTAAAGGCTTTAAAGCTGGGGACCAAACTTAATTTAGCCTAAACGATATATTTTGTTTGTGTCAACAGCTAAAGGTTATGAACATTTCAGACCACAATATAATGTCTTTGCTTGCTTGTGAGAAAAAGCCCTGTGAGACTGGTTCTCACTTTTATAAGATTCTGTCTGAAATTTCTGATTCATTAAACCTCATGATAGAACCAAACTTTTAGTGCAAGGAACTAGATACATTATTCTTAGTTATATTTAAATAATGTAATGTGAAGCGTCTTTGAGTGTCCTGAAAAGCGCTATATGAAAACCAATGCATTATCTATAGTTCTTTGAAAGTTAGGTTCTCAAGTTTTAAAAGAAAGATTTTAATGAAAAGTGTTCATTTTTCTGTTCTTCTGGTTGAGTAAAACTGGACTAAACGATAAGATGTAATAGCATAAAAACTCGTCATACGTACTGATATTTCCAGATCGGAGCCCTGATCGATCTTATTGCTGCTCTGTCTGCTGGGGGAACGGGACAACCCTCGAATGCTTGGTTCAGGGGCGGGGGCAGGTGTGACAGGGGCAGGTGAAACAGGTGCTGGGACAGGAGCAGGGGCAGTGGGCGTGGTGGGTCGGCTGTTGGCCCTTCCAGCTCCTTCGCTCCAGGCTCCAGGGCTGAGTAGATGGTCATCTTTAGGCTGGGCAGGGGCCGGAGCAGGGGCAGGGAGAGGCAGGCCGGGGCTGGGGGAGGGGGTGCGCGCAGGGGAAGACTCTGCCAGGAGGTGGTCCAGCTCGTTGGGCACAGGGCTCTCTGGGGGGGTGGGTAAAGGTTCCTCTTCGGCCAGCAGAGGCTCGTGCATCACTGTGTCTGCGTTCTCGCTGCCCTCCATGGCCTCCAGCAATGCGCGCTTCTTAAGGTACTCCGGGCCTGAGCGGAAAGAGATAAAAAGACAAATCAAAGCCAACATCTAAAAATCAATATAAATGTTTGATCTAAATTGATTAATAGTAATTTGTCTGATAATGTCTCACATGGCCCCTCACAAGTATGCACTAGTTCAAATGTAACTTTCTACATGAACACAATAAGAGTGGGCTCCTATGTTTGTGTAAAATGCCCACAATTCCCAAAAAAAAAGTTAGAAACCCAAGCTTTAACATAATAAATTATTCTTAGGGATTAAAGTGAAAAGGGGCCAGGGCAGAGTTCAGAAAAGAAAGTCAAAACACATTAAGGTATTTTTGTATCGTGGCTAACACTAGACTAAATATGAAGTGAATATTTAGTCTGGGAACCATCTGCACATTGTCCTGTAGTGAATGTGCGGTTTACAATTGTCCATAGACGTTTATTGGGCGCTATGAATGTGTATCATTCATCTGCAGCTTATACTCAATGTATGGCGAGCAGCAGAAAATCCATGAGAAGGGAAGAAGCAAAAAAGACAAATTATGTTTACACGATTCTTGATTGCAGGAAAATAAAGATTACTCAAACATAACTAATTCACACACCAAGTTAAATCATCTGATGTAAGAGCATGTGTGGTTACCAGGCTGATAGAAGGAAGGAGAAAGCTCTTTAGCCACAGCGCGAGCCAGACCAGCATCACCGCTGGAGGCCTGAGCCGCCTGGTCCGCGCCGTCAGACTTCCCCTTTGCATGAGTGGTTCTGCAACAAACACAGATGGACAAACACATTCAAATCAGGAGCAGAACTATGTCTTTTGTTCAAAAGATTAAAGCTGGGGTACCTAACTTTTATTTTTGACAAATAACACAATGTGCATGTCCCCACAGAGATTGTTTAGTAAATAAAAGTAAAGTGTTGCAAACAAATATAGATCGTATAAGAAAACATGTTACATTTTGGATACTTGTAAGAAAGAGTCTTATGAGTCACTATTTGACTCTTTGAGCTGAGAGCCGACGGACTGAGGGTGGCCCTCTTTTCCACTTTTCCTTCCATCTGAAAAGTGAGGCCAAAAATAATACTAGAACCAAACATACCAGTCATTGTTAAAAAGTCAGGTACTCCAGCTTTAATTGATTTTGAAGTAATTAACCAGGTGGGTCGAAAACTACCTTAAAGTGATTGTCTGCAGTTTGTCAGAAAGAGAGAGAGAGGTACATGGTTTGAAAAAAAAAAACCAGGCAAGCTCCCTCCCCCTTCCTTTCTGATTGGTCTACACCTACGTTTCCATAACACATTTAAATGTTAATGAGAGAACACATTATACAATATACATTATTAATACACATGCACGGAGGTTTTCAGAATTTTTTGTTAACGTTTTAATGACAAAAATAATGTTTTTATGCACAAAAAAACGATCGCGGTAAACCCGGAAGTAGCTATTATCATGAATTGCACATTATAGGACACATCTGCAGAGGATCTGATTATGGATATAGGTTCAGTATATACATGGGTAACTCAACGCGGATGTTCAGAATTCTTTGTTCAGTTTTCATGTAGTTCCAGAGCCTAATAGAGGCTTGATTCGGAGGCTCCGCAAAAACAAACAACTGAGCATGCGCGGAGCTACGAGCATCAGCGCCAATGATTGACAGCCCTTGGCATGACTCGATTGGTTAACCTCGACGGCACCGTGGATTCTGAGCTGTAGCTAAGAGAAGGGAAGGCGGGACTTGCCCGTAATATTAGAATTTATAAAATTACTTATTTTATATCAACATTTAAGGCCAGGAGGTCAATTTACTAAAATTCTTTACATTTGTAATTCATTTAGAGTTACATACTATCACTTTGAAAGCCACTGGGTGACATCACACTTGTCTAGTCCTTTCTAATGTCTCTGCTGGTTGTACATATGCTGAGACAGATAGGACAGACCTATAGCATGTAGGAAGCTAGAATAACCCGAGGTCTACATTTGCTAAATATCTGTGCTGTTATTTTTAGACAGGGTTAGAACAATTATAAGACCATATACTCTCAGTTCAAAATACATGTATAGATTCAAAAAGAAAATTGGACTGAAGTATGCTAGTTTAAGTATTTAAACTGTGTGAGAGACTTTCCACTTTGCTGATTGTGATTACGCTGTAAATGTTCTACATACTGAAACTCAAACCGGGGCTGGAAATAGCAGGCCGACGCTTGAAGGCGCCGCAGGGAGGTGCTTCCCCCAGGAACAATTAGACATAGGTTCCTCCTGCCCACCTGTCTATAGTCACCCCACACTCACCACCATATAATGTATACTGTTACAACAAATTTACTCTGGGAGAGAGAACAGACATATGCTCTGTTCTCTTGTGGGAAAACCGTTCAACAAATCAACATGTATATACAAACTAAATTCCAGGTTGAATCAGAGGCAATGATCTTCTTCCAGGTTAGAAAGAATTAGACGAGCTAACGACCTGGTCATCTGGAAGGCTTTGTCATAAAAAAAATTGTCTTTCCTGTTACACAGTTATATTTCAAGGTCATAATGGAAGATTAATGAAGCTTGCATTTTGAAAGAGTGGGTCAAGGAGCAGGAGAGGTAAGTTTCTCCAGTAAAATTGCCTGCACCACAGAGTACTCTAGATCATTCCCTCATTGAAAATCTTTGGGATGTCCGTACATGTCCCCATTGTTACAGTGTATCAAACAAATACACAATTGGATCTGGATCTGTAAAGAGACAAACATGTGCTCTGGCTCTTGATAAATGGACTAAACAGCAGCTGCCTTTGTACAACAGGTTTAAATCAATCCCGCCGCTACAATTAACACATTAGTCATTGCCCACAAATGTGCACGCACGCAGCAGCTCCAGTTGATTAGAGATGGTTGTATTTTGTCCAAATGTCAATGTGATACAACTGTCATGGTGTGGACTTTTTGGATTATTTACTTTACTTTATTCTCTTGTATTTTGAGTTTGATTCCTGTCTGTCCTGTTGATTGTTAGCCCCGCCCTAATGTGATCCACCTGTGTCTCCTGTGTGTATTTATACCCTGTGCTTTTCCCCACTTGTTGTCCGACCATTGTCTTGTCTAGTTTTTCGGTTCTGGTATTTTGTGCGTTTTGTCTCTCTTGATTTTGTTTTTATTAAATTACATTTGATTTTTAGTCCTGCATTTTGGGTTCCTGTTTTCTTCATTTCACCCTGTGACAGAATGGACGGACCATATTGAGACCCTGCGGACTGCTTTTCATCCACACCTGGCTCTCGCTACACCAACCTGGCCTGAACACTGTCTTCAAGTACAGATTTTTGTTTCATTTACTACGCCTGCTGCCCATTGATCTCAGTTTTGCGTCGCCTGAAACCATTGCCAGACAAGCGTTTCCGTCTGGGGCGGTAATCTTTGGTTTCTGTGTCTGGACCACCGCCGGGCATCATGCTCCGCCCGGGGTGGTCTTCTGTTCCCCCGTCCTGTTGGAGGTCGTCGCTGGGCCCCAGTTTTTCCACCCACCTGATCTGGTCACTGATGGAGACTTTTCTGTCTCTTTGTGTCTCGTTTTTTTTTTTTGTCATGGACAATTCATTTGAAATGTGCCATTGTGGACTTCAGTAACCTTCACCGTCTTGGTTAGTTATTAGTTATGTATTAGTTTCACATAGTAAAACTAATATATGAATTACAGAAGAAAAAGCACTTTTGGACAATACTCTAATTGGAAAATATTCTTAGGTAAAATACAAGTGAATAAAGAAAAGCAGTAAAAATACTATCACCAAACAAACTATGTCATTTCAGTTTTAGATACAGACTGTGGAAGATTACATGCAGCCCACACGTACGAGACTGGTGGAAATGGAAGCTGATAGATATGTCAATATGCCCAAAATCAAACACAACTTTGTCCACATATGTATAATGATTAGGATAAGATGGACCTTCATTTGTCCCGCAGCGGGGAAATTCCATTCCAAAAAACAAAACAGTAGTAATAAAGAGAGCACTCAAAGATAATAAAATCTAATATTTTGAGAATAATTAAATATTAAATGGAGAAGAAATCAGAGCAATCAGTCATTCATGAATCATAACTGTTTGAAAGTCTATGGCCCATGTTTAAGTGTGCGTCTATACTGTTGTGTGTGTGCAGGCGGCAGAATGGCCTCCTCAGCAGTACAGTGTGAGGAGTTTTATATCCAGCTCTGGTTATGAGCTGCCACATATTTAGATCTACGCTGCACCCGACACCTCTGCTGACACATACAGAACCTGTAGCAGTCCTACAGGAGCAGACTGGATCCATAATGTGGTTTGGGGCTTTTGTCAATGTACAGACTGTGGTGTTCTATTGCATTAACCCCTTTGTTTGTACACATGTGGAGCAGTTCTTCTCTTCTTCTTCGGGTCACCTGAGGCTATAAAAGTAACTTGTAACTGTAACTTGTCAACGTATGAACAAGAAACAGGGAGAGCATTTTTATACGCATTTTATACATTTTTGAGGATGAGACACTGCCTGCAACTATTTCTAAAACCCCCATAAAAGCCTTCAACACACCAAAATGCAGAACAAATAATATGAATAGGAAGTAAAAGGAGAGAGCATGTAACCCCGATAATGAAGCCACTTCAGTGGCATGTCCTCTTCTTACATCCGGGAAGACTTGTATCAACCAAACTGAGCCCTTTGGTCTAACGTATAAACGTTAGACTACTAATAGTTTATAGAGTGTCTAAAAGCACATCAGGAGGTTAAGTGGATGTCAAAGAGGCCCACACGGTCTGCACTTTCAATAATAGACTTAAAATGTTCCTCTATGAAGTAGCTTATGGCCAGGTCAAGTTAATAATAATAATAATAATAATGATAATAATCAGATATATTTTAATTTTTCCTGTACCTGAAGTCTGTTGGCTGTGTTCACTAATGTGAAACAACAAGTCCTTCGAGAAAACTGCTCTTGCAATGTTTGGCTGTTGGCTACCAAAGCTCAAAAAAAGACCTGGAAAACATGAAAATAAAATGTATTTAAGGTACTTTTCAGTTTTACATTTGATTGAATCTTAACCTCTTGGATGGACTCTTCCGTCTCTATTCTGACCTGGTCATGTCCCCAGACCTCTGCAGCAGCTGCTTGTCTCTTAGATTAGAGCTGGGGATGACGGAGATGTGAAAATTGTCACATTGTGATGGACATTTTCATTTTTAGAATATATTATTTACATTATAACAGTTATTTTTGGGTTTATACTCTGCTTAATGTTCTACTGGTGGATTTAAAGTTTGTAAAAAGCTTAAAAGCTATAAAGATTAACATAATTGCCAACATCAAAAACAAGATTTTGTTTCAAGAAAATAAAATCTTTTTCAGTCAAAGTTCAGAGAATATGAAGGAAGATAAAAACATTTTACACTTATCGTCAAAACCCCCACAGATCATTTTTATACATTTCACATCATAGAGCAGTAGGTGAGCAACAATGTTTTGAATGCAGAAGAATAAAGGTACTGCAAACACGAATACACAACTTTGAGTGAGAAAACAATTCTTGATTGAAAGCTCCAGGCCCTTGTGAACACTGTGACATCACATGGACCTAACATGTGGCCTTTTGAACAGCACAGGGATCGGGGCGTGACGTGGGCAGTGGGGCAGCCGTCTGGAGGCCCAGAGCTAGGTGTAAATGACGCAGAGAGGGGCCACTGGTCACCGAGGGGCATGGGGCTAAATACAGACATGCACACACAC